AAGAAGAAGAAGAAGAAGAAGAAGAAGAAGAAGAAGAAGAAGAAGAAAAAGGAAGAAGAAAGTTGGCTTGGCCGCAAACAAGATTTATGCAGACAAGACAATTGTCATCCATAAACTGTGGCTCTCATAAAATGGAACCCAGTTGGAAGAAGCTTCTTTGATAGCTGAGAGAAGCTCCTTTGAAAGAGCCTCCTCCTGATAAATCTACAAGAAATAAAACCTTTGGCAATATCACCACCTACTGGAAAAATAAGTCCTGTGCCCTATATCCAGAATCTTACTAATGGTCCAAATCCACCTGCTCAAATGCATCCTCTCCACACTCTCAAGGATTTGGATTCATTACAACAGAATATCTTTTATCTATGCAATGCTTGGAGCAATTCAAACAGGATTTGGGTAGTTTCTCCGATTATGCTGATAAATGTGTAGGTTTTTGACAACTCTGCCAAAATAGAAACTATTTTAGAAGGCTGCTGATGTTACTATGGGACAGAGACTAACTGATTCTGAAAGAATTAGAATGACAAATTACCTACAAACAATAGGTCCTAAATATTCCATAGGTCCTGAAGCAGTCTTGATACATGCCCGGAGATGGATTGAAATACCTAGGGGGACTTGTGCTGACACACTGTTATTGGTGTGCTAGACAGGCTAAAAGCAGTAAATGAAAAATGAATAAATCATGCCAAACTACCAACTTTTTGCCAGGGCCTTAATAAAAAAAACTCTACTGCTTTTTTGAGCATTTTAGAACACTATGCAAAAATACAGCCTACCCAATGAATCCTTTGATATTAGAGGAAATGACAAATATTGTAGTGGAACCTAAGATTCTTAGTGATGAACACAGAAAATTCTGTTTATCTAAAATCTAAAGGAAAATCAAAGGAAGTCAGAGAGCAAAGAGACCTAACAGGTATGAAGAAACTTCTTCTACCTTATGGGATAACTCAAGAGTCCCCCACTGGGAATTACCCAGAAGAAATAGCTCCCCCCCCCCAAAAAAAAAAAAAGAAGTTATTTCTCTTAACAGGACACTAGAAAGTTTGCCCAAATATTAGAGTCTCCTAAGACTCTTTGCCCCAAATATTACCAAAAAAATCATGGCACTTGGGGAGCTTACTGCTCCGAAGAACAAAAGGTTCTTGGGTCATTCTCAAAGGTTGCCCTTTGAATAATAAAGCCTTCAGTTCTCAGCTGAACTCTCACCTTCAATAGAATGAATACGCCAACATAGATGTCACAGATGGGATTCCAAGTGTTCTGATTAAGAAGGCTCATCCTTAGCTTCTGTAGATATACAGATTTTAGTATGTTTATCCTATATTATATGACTAACAGCCATTTATAAGTGGGTATATCCCAGGTGTGTCTTTCTGCTTCTGGGATACCTCACTCGGGATGATTTTTTTTCTAATTCCCACCTTTTGCCTGAAAATTTCATGACTCCCTTGTTTTTAATTGCTGAGTAGTATTCCATTGTGTAAATGTACCACAATTTCTGTATCCATCCCTCAGTTGAGGGACATCTGGTTGTTTCCAGATTCTGGCTATTACGAGTAAAGCTGCTACTAAACGATTGAACAAATGTCCTTGTTGTATAGTTGAGCATATTTTGGACATATGCCTAGGAGTTGTGTAGCTGGGACTTGAGGTATTACTATTCCTAATTTTCTGAGAAAGCACAAGGTTGATTTCCAAAGTGGTTGTACAAGTTTACATTTCTACCAGCAATAGAGGAGGGTTCCCCTTTCTAAGCAATAAAGAGGACCCTGGGTAAGATGCTCAATCCTCATGCAGAAAGGCAAACAGGATAGACATCAGAAGAAGGAAAAAACAGGGACAGGACAGGAGCCTACCACAGAGGACCTCTGAAGGACTCTACCTAGCAGAGTATCAAAGCAGATGCTGAGACTCATAGCCAAACTTTGGGCAGAAAATCTTATGAAAGAAGGGGGAGATATAAAAACCCTACAGGGGACAGGAGGTCCACAAGGAGAGCAACAGATTCAAAAACTATGGGCACAGGGGTCTTTTGTGAGACTCACATTCTAACCAAGGACCATGCATGGAAATTACCTATAATTCCTGCACAGATGTAGTCCATGACAGCTCAGTCTCCAAGTGGGTTTCCTAGTAATGGGAACAGAGACTGCCTCTGACGTGAACTCAGTGTCTGGCTCTTTGATCACCTCCTGAAGGAGGGAACAGCCTTACCAGGTCACAGAGGAATCCAACGCAGCCAGTCCTGATGAGAACTGATAGGCTAGGGTCAAATGGAAGAGGAGGAGAACCTCCCCTACCAGTGGACTTGGTGAGGGCCATGAGAGGAGAAGATAGAGGGAAGATGGGATTGGGAGAGGATGAGAGAGGGAGCTACAAAGTGAATAAATTCTAATAAAATTTAAAAAAAAAGAAGGCTCGTACTGGTCAATTGTCCCCAACCCTGTCAAGTTATGAGCACCAATCAATGGAACTCCCATAATCAAACATTCTACTTTGTCTTTATGTTATCTATGGAATAACTTATTCATTCATGTCTTCTTTGTAATTTACAAATTCCCATTTCTGTTATTAAACAAACGTATTGGTAAATATTGGAGTCCAAACTATCCTCAGTACTTATCTAAATAACCTCATGACTGAAGAGAAAGATAATTCACTCTATTCAGGCCCATTAATCCTCATGTGTGAGCTAGGTATTAACATGCTAGGTAGGGCAATTATAAACTCCATAGCAATAATCAGAGTACTTTCATGATTTCCTTAAATCCAAACAATACTTTGTCCAGCCTGAAGTTCACTTGGGGCTCCAGACATACATGCACAGATAATACCCAGGTTGAGATTGGCAAGCAGATTTACATTGCCTCCTTGTCAAGGAGATATTTATTGGCATTTGTCAATATTTTCATGGAATAGATACCATCCTTCCCAGTTTGATCTAAAAACTACAATGAAGTACCTAAATCACCCTTTAAGGAAATAATTCCTCAATTTGGCTCCTCAAGATCTCTTCAAAATAATGGTCCTTCCTTAACTTCCCAGATCACTCAGTCTGTGACTATGGGAATTAGATCGTCATTCCTCTTGTAGACCTCAGTTCCTTTGGAAAGGCTGACAATGCTAATCAGATCCCAAAGTTATTCATTAGAAATGTTTACCAGGAGACTCATTTCATTTAGAGGGCAATGTCATTGATAGTCCTCCTCCTTAGCACCCATAAGGTTCAATTCAGCTGTGGGCCTACATCCATTCAGGGTGCTTCATGGGCACATTTTTCTTACTCAGATCTGTGACTTAAGTATAAGCACAGGACTTTACTTCAACTTGCTTTAATGAATTGGAACAGGCTATCAAAAACTGTGGGTTCCAAAAACTAACTAATCTGTTGGGAAAACAAACCTTCTTTTTAACTAGGATAATGGGTGCTAATTAAAACTTATGAGGAACCACTCATAGCCAATAAGTAAACCGTCTTTGAAAAGGCCCATTTTTGATACTTGTATCTTCCACGGCCATCAAAGACTCAAGAATTACCAGCCAGATTAATCATTTCCTTGGGATCTTAGATATGAGAGCTTCCAGAGGAAACACCTCCCACAGACTCTTGGCAAAGTCAACACATATGAAGCCTTGCACATAGTTTCAAAGAAAGAAAGCTTTATTTACTCCTCCATTGTTATAAAGCTATGGCCTACTGGCTTTCTTCAGTTCTTGACATGGCTTTTCTTTCTGCCTTTTTAAACCCCAAATGAAGACTCATTCTCTACAGGAGCATTAGAATATGCTCCATACAGTAAAAAAGACAGTCATATTAAGGTTATGAACAGCTATT